GGTTTTTTTTCAGTCTACTGGGGCTCCAGGAAAGTGATACGCAACAAAATCCCAAGAAGAGGCTAACAGACAATGTTTAAAATGTTGCATTTATTCACTGGCGGCCAAAATGCTTCTGGATTATACTCCAAAGCAAACGCGTAACTCTCGCCTTCGTTCGCGCGTGCATGCGAACTTGCGTGGCAGTCACTTTATCGCAACTAATTCTGCTGCCTTTTTCGACCAAGACGAAGGCGGTGGACTAATTTGGGCAGGAGAGCTGCAGGAGGGGGGGCAAGCCAGATAAGTTACATGTCCCACACAGGTGACGTAGTGTATGGTGAGTACGAACGAACGTAATAACTTCTATCTCTCCCCCTCTGTCCCTCGACGTTCGTTTGACGCGCAATTACAGGATCGCGTGCGCAGGCTGTCCCGTGCTGTTTCAGGGCTAATATTGTACCATCGCATTGGGTTAAGTAATAAAACAAGACCCTGACTGCTGCGATCTTCAGTCCCGTTTCCGTAAGGGAGGAGAAATGGGAGGCTAAAGTAGGAAGAATAACTTATTCTGTACATGGGTCGTGGAGAAGAGGTAGGAGGAAGATGACTGTCGCACGATTGAAATCCGGTCACGAGAGAGCCGGGTGTGATATGTGTCTGAGCCTGGCAGTCGTCCCTGCGATCCAGATATCGTATCATTTTCATCATGCCCTAAAGAAGGCGAAAAAGAAGAAGAAGAATAAGAAGAAGAAGAAAAAGGGACAAGTTCATGGATCGAGGTGTATTTAGACTGATGTGTCCAAAACACTCTTGGTTTCTAGATATCACTTCGGGCCACGCCACTCCAGCGAAAGGACGTGCGCTCCGGCAGTCAAAACTTCGTCCGAACTATTTTCCTTGCCGTCTGTACAGAATACACTCTTCCTACTTATCTGGATTTGCCATGACTTCTCTCTTCTCCTAAGTAACCTGGCCTGAAAGATTGCAGCCGTTAGAGGTTATTAGCCTAAACACCACGCGATAACTGTTTCAGCCTTGTCGCTTGTCTAGTATTCTATCCATGCTCGGCTGACAAGGAGCAGGCCAGTAAGCACGCCACAGAGGAGGCAAATGTCCCACCAACCCACTAGCGGTTGTTTGTGCATCGCGCACGGATATAATACCAAACTGATGGCAAGGCTGAAACAGTCACGACAAGCAGGAATAATCAGTACAGTACTCTGATGATTGAACCGAGACTGGTTCCGAAACGTCAGGCGTGTGAGGCCTCTAGTTTGGGCCTCAAGGCACAACAGAACGAGCACATCCCTCAACCTCATGGGTGAATACATATCTACCTTATATATGTGCGTGTAGTGGTAATTTAACCAAAATATCAAGTCAACCGTTTGATCGGGGCTTGACTTACTTTCCAAATGAAGAATAATACGTCCCCTGCGGAATTGTACGAATTGGCCTGAACGGTTGATTCGAATGTCCAACGTCAGCCTCTGTACTGCACCTCATCATAATCTTATTGTATATGCAGCGGTTGTTTTTCAGCCGGTGTGTTTGCCCGTGCACTTGCCAATCTTTTGTCTACTACTTGCTGTTGGTCTTCTTGATTTACCGC